GACTGCGGACTTCGGGGATTCCACGGGGAGGCCTGCCGCGGGCTCCAGCGGGGCCCGCCGAAGGCGGCAAGGCCCGCCAGAGGGGGCCCGAGCTCACGTCCTCCTCTGGAAGAGAGGGACGTGGCGTTGCTCGACGTGTGGCCGCAAAGCTTTCTCCAGCAAGACCAAGCGCGCGTTGGCGCGCAGACCCTGCTTGGGTAAGATGAGAGTGGATCGTCGTTGGGGAGTCGGGCTTGGGCGGGGGGATGGGGAAGGAGACATTTCTCCCGCCCTCCGCGGAGCGGCCCTAGGGCACGAGCTGCACCGAGTGGGCCAGTATACATACTGCGATCGGTGCGGTGTCTTTTCGAGCGAGAGGGGGTGCAAGCTCCTGGGCGCCTGCATCGGGGCCCCTGCGAACTCCACCGCAGGGTACCGCCTCTCGCTCCTGCGCCGAGGCAGGAATCCTTATGCTGTAAAGGTCTCCCTCGAAGCGGTACCGCGCTCCCTGGTACAGGAGGAGTGCGACGCATTCTGGGAGTGCCTCATGGACTGAGGCAGGACGGGGCGGGAGGCACCCCGTGGCGGAGTGCCCGCCCATCCTCTTTCTCTTGTGGCGAGCTGGGGCGGGGACCGCCAGGCATCGTTCTAGCAGCAAAGCCTCCTCCTCCTCCTCCTCCTCCTCCTCCTCCTCCTCCTCCTCCTCCTCCTCCTCCTCCTCCTCCTCCCCCTCCCCCCCTCCCTCCCTCCCTCCTCCCTCCTCCTCCTCCTCCTCCCTCCTCCCTCCTCCCCTCCTCCTTCCTCCTCTCCTCCCTCCCCCTCCTCCCCTCCTCCCTCCTCACCTCCCCCCTCCCTCCTCCTCCTTCCCTCCTCTCCGCCTCCTCCTCCTCCTCCTCCTCCTCCTCCTCCTCTTCCACCTCCTCCTCCTCCTCCCTCCTCCTCATCCTCATCCTCCTCCTCCTCCTCCTCCTCCTCCTCCTCCTCCTCCCCCTCCTCCTTCTCCTCCGCCTCCTCCTCCTCCCTCTCAAGTGCACGTTGGCTCCACTGCCCCCCATCGGGGCTGAGGAGAAAGAGGATGTCCGCAACGGCGGTGGCAGCAGGTGCGAGTCGAGTGTACAGGGCCAGTTCTGTGATATATATATATATATATACATATATGTGTGTATATATGTGCATGCATATACGTTGGTGTAGCTATATGTGCATATATACATATATACATATATATATATATATACATGCGTACATGCATACATACATGCATGCATACATACATAAATGCATGCATATATACATACATATATATATATACATACATACCTACCTACCTACCTACCTACCTACTTACCTACCTACCTACCTACCTGCCTACATATATACATACATACATACATACATACATACATACATACATACATACATACCTACATACATACATACATACATACATACATACATACATACATACATACATACATACATACATACATATATACAGACATACACATATGCCTGTATACATGCATACATATATGCATACATGCATACATGCATACATGCATACATGCGTACATGCATACATACAATACACATACATACATTCATACATACATACAAACATGCATACATACATGCATACATGCATACATACATACATACATACGTACATACATGTTCCGACGTGTATAAATTAGATAAGGGCCAGGGGCGCCGGAAAAAGCGCCCCCCCCCCCCCCTCAACGAATTTGGCCTTCCCCAGGCCTCCAGGCAACCCTTCAGACGACCCGGGAGAACCTCACGAGAGCCCGAAGAAGGCCCCAGACGGGTTCCAGTCGTTCCCGCCTGCTCCCGCAACGACCCCAGAGAGGATCCATACGGTCCACGACGACCCCCAAGAAGCCGTCATAACCCCCAAAGATCGCTCCAAAACATCCCAAGAGGCCTAAGAAAGCCCGAATAGGCAAAAATCATAAATTGTCTGTTGGTTTTTAGTGAGTTTGGGGGTTCTCCTCTTTTCAGCTTCCCGACACTCCAAGACGGCGGTCTTCTGGGCGTCATAAGCTGCCTGGGAGGCTCCAGTTCGCCCCAGAACCATCCGAAAGGGCTTCCAGGCAGTCCAAAAGAGCCCCAACACGGCACAACAGGAGTCCAAGATGGCCCTCCAAGAGCCCCATGTCGGCCCAAGATGGCCCCAAGACACCCCCCGAAGCATTCCAAATCGTGACCCGGTCGTTCAGGGAGACCGCGGTTGGAGGCAGGGTGGCCCGCGGAAGCCCCCAGAGGCCCCCAGAACACGCCCAGGAGGCGTCCAGAAGGCTTTCAGAAAGCCTGAAAAACTTGTGTGAGGCCCCACGAGGCTGTCCAAGGAGGAGCCTCCGCAAAAAGAACTGAGGAGGCTGGGGAGAATGCGCAGGGTATGGCGAGAATGAGGAAAAAGAAACATGGAGGAAGGACAACGAATAACATGACCATAAATGCGATGCCGAGGAAGGCAACAAGAAATTATCGCTCAATTGTCGGCTTGACCTTCCTGCCATTCCATCTGCATACCAAAAATTCAAGGAGCAAAGTGCACAGCGTGAAACGCCACTGCAGTCTTGTATATATATATGTGCATGAATATATATATATATATATATATATATATATATATATATATATATATACATACATACATACATATACATATACATATACCTATACATATACATATACCTATACATATACCTATACATATACATATACATATACATATACATATGCATATACATATACACATACATATACATATACACGTACATGTACATGTACATGTACATATACATATACATATACATATATATATGTATTTATATATGTGTATGCGCGTGTGCGTGTGCATGTGTGTGTGTCGCAGGCCCTGCGAGCCGGCAGCGCGGGCGCCGCCGAGGCAGGCATCCCGGGGCAAGCGAAACAGCACAAACAGAAGATGTTGAAGGTCCGCGCGGATGTCTCTGATCGGCGCTAGGCTTAGGTCGGGCATGTCCTCCCACAGGCGGATCTTCGAGGAGAAACTAAAAATAGTCCAAAAAAGAATCACTAGTTCGAACAAATGCTCGAAACATCGTCCCCTGCCTTCCTCCTGTGGAGGGGCATGCCTGACTTAACGCCAGGGGGCGGCAACGGTGGCGCCGCCAGGGCAGAGCCCAGCGGGAGGCGTGCCCCGGCTCGGAGCGCTGGGCTGCCAGGAAAGACTGCTCGCCGCGGGCTGCTCGCCGACAGCTGCCCCTCGCCGAGGGCGCTCTGGGCGGTGTGCCCGAACGTCCCGGCCTGCCGCCCGAGGCCAAGGACGTCCACCGATCCTGAGAACTCAAGGCGGAGGTCGTCAGTCGCTTCCAGCCTCGAGGGCCCTCGCCGGGCCTCGGACCGTCAGCAAACGACTCGAAGGATGAAGAGCCAGCCCTCGGTTCCAGGGTCGGGACTTTTTTGGAACCCCCGTGGAACAAGTCAAGACACCGGATCTCTGGGAAGGGATCACTGACAGAACTTCATGGTCTGCGAGAGGGCCGCTATTGGACAGTCCCTCGGGTGTGCCACGGTTACGGCTCGGAAGTGCCAATGGGGGGCACCTCTTGCTCGGGGCGCACCACCCCATGTCGCAGCCTGTTACCAGAGGTTACTGGCAAGGGCCCGCCCTGGCTAGCAGCCCTTGGGAGCCTGTTCAGGAGTGACCTCCCTTTTCGGGGAAGTCCCTTCAGGGGTCGGTGAGAGCCATTGCAACAATCCCAAACCCCGCGACCTGCCTGCCCATAAAGGGTGAGAAGCATCGCCTGCCTCCTACAAGAGACAGGCACGGCTTCGGAGCTGGCAGCCATCCCGCGAGTCGCGGCCGTCAATCCCTCGGATTGTTCACATCCTCCCTCCTCGAATCCTCGAACAAACCCTACGGAAAACGAGTCAACTCGCCAGGGGCTCAAGTTTGAATGAAGGGGCCAATTCGGAGCCATATCGAGCCGCATTGCCGATGCATCGGCGATGCGGCGCGATCCTCCGACCCCATCCACTCAGAAGAAGAAAAAACGCAACAAACATGAACATGTGGCGCTCCGCGCGGATTTCTTGGATCTGCGCTGGAGCGCACCAGGGGCGGCGCTGGAGGCGCCGCCTGGGGGGCCCAGCGCGGATCCAAGAAATCCGCGCGGAGCGCCAAAAGCTCATGTTCATGCCGCTTCTTCGTCTTTTTCTATTTCTTCTTATTATAGCTATTCTTCAACAGAAGAAAGGCTGGGTCGCACGTGCCGGCCCCCGTCGCACCGATCTTGGCCGCCCCCGATTCGAGCGGGGGGTCGACTGCAAAATTGATTTACCACGAAACAGATTTCCTCGTCGAATGTACGCAAAAGACTTCGAATGCGCGTGGATCAGTCCACGTATTTTTTGCAACGTCGGCGAGAAGATCCCCTACTCGACCTATCGAATCGGATGGGGGGCGGAGGCGGGAGGACCTCCCCATCCTGCAGCATCCTCCTCCTCCTCCTCCTCCTCCTCCTCCTCCTCCTCCTCTTCCTCCTCCTCCTCCCGCTCCTCCTCCCCCCCCTCCTCCTCCTCCTCCTCTTATCCTCCTCCTCCTCCTCCTCCTCCTCCTCCTCCTCCTCCTCCTCTCCTTCTTCTTATTAGTATTAGCTGATTAGTAGTTGAGTCATATTGTTTTTGGTCTTCGTGTTATGTTTCTTATTCGTACTTCGTAATAGTACTACCATTATTACTTATATTAAGAATCATTGTTCTATCCTCTCCTCCTCCTCCTCCTCCTCCTCCTCCTCCTCCTCCTCCTCCTCCTCCTCCCCCTCCCCCTCCTCCCGCCTCCGCCTCCCTCCGCCTCCGCCTCCTCCTCCCCTCCTCCTCCTCCTCCTCCTCCTCCTCCCCTCCTCCTCCTCCTCCTCCTCCTCCTCCTCCTCCTCCTCCTCCTCCTCCTCCTCCTCCTCCTCCTCCTCCTCCTCCTCCTCCTCCTCCTCCTCCTCCTCCTCCCCATCGAAGCGGCATCCTGCAGCGGCCTCTGGCCGCGCGCGGCCCAGCGGCTGGCCTGCGGCTCCACGGCCATCACCCTGGCAAGGGGCACTGCCGGGGGCCAGCCAAAGGGTACAGCAGGAGCTCGACCACAGGAAGCCCCTACAGGAGGAACATTCACATATCGTCAAAAAATACAATGTTTCCACTATTCTTGATCACTGCTGAATATTATTTGACTATGTTGATCGTTTTTCTACAAGCCGCCTGCGAGGAGGACAAGCCCGACCTAAAACTGAAGTGGGGGCCGATCCACAAGAAACCTTCCACAAGAAACCCGACCCCGGGACACCAGGACCTCCAGTGACTTTTGGCGTGTAAACGGCACGCCTTCCATCGCAAATCCGGCGAGACCGAAGAGACCCGGGGCAGCCTGGAGGCAAGCAGGGTGTTTTTGGCATGGGTTTACACTGTAGGCGATCGGCGTTTCAGCCATGCCCCTGCTCACGCCGAGCACTTAGGAGGCAGCTTCTTCGTGTCTTCGTCGGGACGATGGAGAAAAAACACGGACGAGCCCTGTAGCATTCGGGGGCCATGGAGCGGGATGAAGCCAAAGGAAGCGAAGGATTCACTGACCTGGCAGGATGCAGCTGGAATAAGCAGGGCACCCCGGAGGCAAGCGGGGCGTTTCGTGGCATGGGCCCCCACTATACGACGGGGGGCCTCTGTTGCCGCTACGGGGCCTCCCAGGGGGGGTCCTTGAAGGGGCCCAGGGACACACAAATAAATACATACATAACAGGATTCCCCATATTTGCCCATATGTTCTGGGTTTCTGTTCCCCCACTTCGCACCTCTTCCCACATTTCCTGGGTAATCGACGATGGTTTGTGTCTGTATGTTTTTCCCCCTCCTGAGGCCTCGCCGACCACGGGGCCGCCCCCCACCCCCCCCCAAAAAAAAAGGCTCGGGACGAGGAGCGGGACCCCAGGGCACGGGGCGAGGCCTCCAGCAGGGGTCCAAGCGGAAAAAAAATTAGCCTGGCGAAGGACCCAACCAAATGCACTTGTGAATACCTCAATTGTGAATACCATCTTCGCCCGCGCTCCCTATGTGGCCACGGCTTCCCGCCGGAACCCGACATGCTCAGGAACACTTTCGTGGCCGTCTTCGCGGGCGCCGACGACGACAAGGACGGCGTCCCTCTGACCAAGGAGCAGAAGCAGGAGAGGGCTTTGGAAGCCATGAGGGAAGAGGTGGCGTTGCACGTCGACAAGGCGGAGTACGACGCCCAGGCACAGTTGTTGAAGCAGCAGAACTATGGGGCCACGATCCTCGTGAGAGGTGTGCCGCAATGGCCTGGGGCCGCCATGCGAACCCTGCCGCTGGCGCCTTCGGTGGAGCTCCCTATGGGGCCACGATCCTCGTGAGGGGTGTGCCGAAATGGCCCGAGGCCGCCATGCGAACTCTGCCACTGGGGCCTTCGGTGGAGCTCCCTATGGGGCCACGAAACGCTGTACTGGGTGGGTGAAACGCAGGGAGGGAGGAGGAGGAGAGGAGGAGGAGGAGGAGGAGGAGGAGGAGGAGGAGGAGGAACGCGGGACACCGTCTCTTCAAAACGAGAACCCAACACCACAGGATGGTTGGGAAATTACCCTGGCGACGTACCCAACCCCTGCGCAATGCGGGGCATGAGTAACCTGGGAGAGATATACGGAGGTGATGACGTGACATGGGCGCATATATTTCTGCGAGCCGCATTCGTGAGGCTCACAGCCCCGATGTCTCGCTCAGATCTGCCTGGTGCCTCACTCCGCTGAACCCGCCACCAGCATTCGAAAGGTGCGACGGTTTCGCAGATCGCAGCCCCCAAAAGACGGCGAGGCTCCGCTCAGATCTGCGCGGTGCCTCACTCCGCTGGACCCACCAGCAGCCCTCGAAAGTGGCGACTCTTTCGCAGATCGCAGCCCCCCAGGGACGGCGAGGTCTACCTCAGATCTGCGCGGTGCCTCACTCCGCAGGACCCACCAGCAGCCCTCGAAAGTGGCGACGGTTTCGCAGATCGCAGCCCCTCAGGGACGGCAAGGTCCCGCCCAGATCTGCGCGGTGCCTCACTCCGCAGGACCCACCAGCAGCCCTCGAAAGTGGCGACGGTTTCGCAGATCGCAGCCCCCCAGGGACGGCGAGGTCTACCTCAGATCTGCGCGGTGCCTCACTCCGCAGGACACACCAGCAGCCCTCGAAAGTGGCGACAGTTTCGCAGATCGCGATGCTGGCCCCCCAAGCAGCCCTCGAAAGTGGCAACGGTTTCGCAGATCGCAGCACCCCCAGGGACGGCGAGGTCCCGCTCAGATCTGCGCGGTGCCTCATTCCGCAGGACACACCAGCAGCCCTCGAATTTGGCGACCGTTTCGCAGATCGCAACCACCAAGGCACGGCGAGGTCCCGCTCAGATCTGCGCGGTGCCTCACTCCGCAGGACCCACCAGCAGCCCTCGAAAGTGGCGACGGTTTCGCAGATCGCAGCCCCCCAGGGACGGCGAGGTCTACCTCAGATCTGCGCGGTGCCTCACTCCGCTGGACCTACCAGCAGCCCTCGAAAGTGGCGACAGCGTCGCAGATCGCAGACCCCCAGGGACGGCGAGGTCTCGCTCAGATCTGCGCCGTGCCTCACCCCGCAGGACCCACCAGCAGCCATCGAAAGTGGTGACAGTTTCGCAGATCGCAGCCCCCCAGGGACGGCGAAATCTACATCAGATCTGCGCGGTGCCTCACTCCGCAGGACCCACCAGCAGCCCTCGAAAGTGGCGACGGTTGTGCAGATCGCGGCCCCCAAGGGACGGCGAGGTCTACCTCAGATCTGCGCGGTGCCTCACTCCGCGGGACCCACCAGCAGCCCTCGAAAGTGGCGTCAGCTTCGCAGATCGCAGCCCCCCAGGGACGGCGAGGTCTACCTCAGATCTGCGCGGTGCCTCACTCCGCTGGACCCACCAGCAGCCCTCGAAAGTGGCGACAGTTTCGCAGATCGCAGCCCCCAAGGGACGGCGAGGTCTACCTCAGATCTGCGCGGTGCCCCACTCCGCAGGACCCACCAGCAGCCCTCGAAAGTGGCGACATGTTCGCAGAGCGCAGCACCCCAGGGACGGCGAGGTCTACCTCAGATCTGCGCGGTGCCTCACTCCGCAGGACCCACCAGCAGCCCTCGAAAGTGGCGACAGTTTCGCAGAGCGCAGCGCCCCCCGAAACGGCGAGGTCTACACTCCGCAGGACCCACCAGCAGCCCTCGAAAGTGGCGACAGTTTCGCAGATCGCAGCACCCCAGGGACGGCGAGGTCTACCTCAGATCTGCGCGGTGCCTCACTCCGCTGGACCCACCAGCAGCCCTCAAAAGTGGCGACGGTTTCGCAGATCGCAGCGCCCCAGGGACGGCGAGGTCTACCTCAGATCTGCGCGGTGCCTCACTCCGCAGGACCCACCAGCAGCCCTCGAAAGTGGCGACGGTTTCGCAGATCGCAGCCCCCCAGGGACGGCGAGGTCTACCTCAGATCTGCGCGGTGCCTCACTCCGCAGGACCCACCAGCAGCCCTCGAAAGTGGCGACAGTTTCGCAGATCGCAGCCCCCCAGGGACGGCGAGGTCTACCTCAGATCTGCGCGGTGCCTCACTCCGCAGGACCCACCAGCAGCCCTCGAAAGTGGCGACAGCTTCGCAGATCGCAGCCCCCCAGGGACGGCGAGGTCTACCTCAGATCTGCGCGGTGCCTCACTCCGCAGGACCCACCAGCAGCCCTCGAAAGTGGCGCAGTTTCGCAGATCGCAGCCCCCCAGGGACGGCGAGGTCTACCTCAGATCTGCGCGGTGCCTCACCCCGCAGGACCCACCAGCAGCCCTCGAAAGTGGCGACAGTTCGCAGATCTCAGCCCCCCAGGGACGGCGAGGTCTACCTCAGATCTGCGCGGTGCCTCACTCCGCAGGACCCACCAGCAGCCCTCGAAAGTGGCGACAGTTTCGCAAATCGCAGCACCCCCCGAAACGGCGAGGTCTACACTCCGCAGGACCCACCAGCAGCCCTCGAAAGTGGCGACAGCTTCGCAGATCGCAGCACCCCAGGGACGGCGAGGTCTACCTCAGATCTGCGCGGTGCCTCACTCCGCTGGACCCACCAGCAGCCCTCGAAAGTGGGGACAGTTTCGCAGATCGCAGCGCCCCAGGGACGCCTATTTCTACCTCAGATCTGCGCGGTGCCTCACTCCGCAGGACCCACCAGCAGCCCTCGAAAGTGGCGTCAGTTTCGCAGATCGCAGCACCCCAGGGACGGCGAGGTCTACCTCAGATCTGCGCGGTGCCTCACTCCGCAGGACCCACCAGCAGCCCTCTAAAGTGGCGACGGTTTCGCAGATCGCAGCGCCCCAGGGACGGCGAGGTCTACCTCAGATCTGCGCGGTGCCTCACTCCGCAGGACCCACCAGCAGCCCTCGAAAGTGGCGTCAGTTTCGCAGATCGCAGCACCCCAGGGACGGCGAGGTCTACCTCAGATCTGCGCGGTGCCTCACTCCGCAGGACCCACCAGCAGCCCTCGAAAGTGGCGACAGTTTCGCAGATCGCAGCCCCCCAGGGACGGCGAGGTCTCCTCAGATCTGCGCGGTGCCGCAGGACCCACCAGCAGCCCTCGAAAGTGGCGACAGTTTCGCAGATCGCAGACCCCCAGGGACGGCGAGGTCTACCTCAGATCTGCGCGGTGCCTCACCCCGCAGGACCCACCAGCAGCCCTCGAAAGTGGCGACAGTTTCGCAGATCTCAGCGCCCCAGGGACGGCGAGGTCTACCTCAGATCTGCGCGGTGCCTCACTCCGCAGGACCCACCAGCAGCCCTCTAAAGTGGCGACGGTTTCGCAGATCGCAGCGCCCCAGGGACGGCGAGGTCTACCTCAGATCTGCGCGGTGCCTCACTCCGCAGGACCCACCAGCAGCCCTCGAAAGTGGCGACAGTTTCGCAAATCGCAGCACCCCAGGGACGGCGAGGTCTACCTCAGAACTGCGCGGTGCCTCACTCCGCAGGACCCACCAGCAGCCCTCGAAAGTGGCGACGGTTTCGCAGATCGCAGCCCCCCAGGGACGGCGAGGTCTACCTCAGATCTGCGCGGTGCCTCACTCCGCAGGACCCACCAGCAGCCCTCGAAAGTGGCGACAGTTTCGCAAATCGCAGCCCCCCAGCGACGGCGAAGAGAGGGCAGGAGGCGAGAGGAGGCGGGAAGCGGGAGGAGGAGGAGGAGAAGGAGAGACGCGACCACACCCTTCTGTTCAGTACGAATACCCAACCAAGGAGGGTTGGGAAAAAGTAGGTCGTCCTAGGTCTGGGTACAGAAGTCGGCCTGACCTAAGGAACGATAAATCAGTAACGCCGCCCCTTTTTGTTCCAAGTAGGTCTGCGAGGTTCGAAGGGGGGACTCGCCGCCAGAAAGGTAGCGGAACGCATGCAAACCAAAGGAACGACCTAGTCCCTTTTGAAAAGTAAGGGCTCCTTATTCAAGCCAGACCCTGCACTGGCCATCGCTCGGACGTCCCTTCCCGGTGCGCGTGCCATGGGTGTCTCTTGGCATGGGCACCAGGGGGACTCGCCGCCAGAAAGGTAGCGGAACGCATGCAAACCAAAGGAACGACCTAGCCCCTTTTGAAAAGCAAGTGTCCCTTATTCAAGCCAGACCCTGTACTGGCCATCGCTCGGACGTCCCTTCCCGGTGCACGTGCCAGGGGTGCTTCTTGGCATGGGCCCCCACTGCACGGCGGCCAGAGGGAAGGAGGCTGCCGGAGCGGGAGCGGGAACCAAGGAGGTCGGGCCCCCTGGGGGGCAGCGCGGACAAGGGCGGGGGGATGTGCAGCGGGGTCGTCTACCGTCTGCGAGGCCGCCGCGGGCGCAGGTTGCACGCTGCAGTCTACCCGTGGAGAGAAGGTTTTATTATTATTATTTTTTCATTAGGCAGCATAGAGGACCACTTTGTGAAATATTCACCTGCACGGGATAAGTACGTGGAAAGAAGGACGCACGATAAGGGTGCAAGGGCTTTGGAAGGCCATGCCGACACTTTGCGGGCGGGGCGGGGCCAGCGAACGAAAGAAGCCGAGGGCAGGCCGAAGGGGAATGATGCAGGGTCGTCCTTGGAAAGCTGCTCATCCTTACTATGCGGGTTGACTGTACACAGATAGACAGCGCAGGCGCCGAATGTTCGTTAGGGAAATGTGAGCGGGTCGCGGGTGGGTCGCGGGTGGGTCCCCGGCGGGTCGCGGGCGGGTCGCGGATGGGTCGCGGGTGGGTCGCGGGCGGGTCGCGGGCGGGGGCGACGACTACAACAAACAGCAAACAAACAAACAACAAGGAGAATCCTCACTGCGGAAGCCCACTTCAGGCACGCGCCCAGGAATGGTGTAAGACCGCTCGGACCTCTCACTCTAATTATGTATGCCGTATGCCGAGGGCTTTGCGCTAGGCGTGCTCCTTTATGAGACAGCAGCGCCAGAGCAGGCCGAGATCAAAAGCGATGGGCCAGAGAGATGATATGAATACGCACACATGCCACGACCAGGAGCGGGACATGGGAGAGACACCCGGGGCCTCCCAAACTCACTCGAAAGAAGCGCGTGTTGTTCAAGTTTCAAGATGACGCGGCAGTGCAGGCGCAGGCCCGCCCCCCACGCGCCTGACGGCGGGCACAGCGAACATCACCTGGGCGCCGTTGTGGTCCACCTGGGTCGCGCACCGGCGGGCTGCTACCAGAAGGACTGCACTGTCCCTCCAGGCCCCCCGATGTTCGATCCTCGATTATTCTCCTCCTCCTCCTCCTCCTCCTCCTCCTCATCATCATCATCATCATCATCATCATCATCATCATCATCATCATCATCATCATCATCAGCATCATCATCATCATCATCATCAGCATCAGCATCAGCATCATCATCATCATCATCATCATCAGCAGCATCAGCATCAGCATCAGCATCAGCATCAGCATCAGCATCAGCATCAGCATCAGCAGCATCATCATCATCATCATCATCTCATCATCATCATCAGCATCATCATCATCATCATCATCATCATCATCATCATCATCATCATCATCCCTCCTCATCCCTCCTCATCTCCTCTCCCTCATCCCTCCTCCCCCTCCTACCCCTCCCCCTCCCCTCCTCCCCTCCTCCTCCTCCTCCTCCTCCTCCTCCTCCTCCTCCTCCATGTCCTCCTCCTCATCATCCTTCTCGCACCGTGTCCTCCTCCTCCTCCTCTCCTGCTCCTCCTCCTCCTCTCCTCCTCCTCCTCCTCCTCCCTCCTCCTCCTCCTCCTCCTCCTCCCTCCTCCTCATCCCACCGTTTCCTCCTCCTCCCCCTTCCTCCTCGTCCTCCTCCTCCTCCTCTTCTCTTCGTCCTCCTTCTCCCCCTCCTCATTCTCCTCCTCCTCCTCCTCCTGCTCCTGCCGAAAGTCAACCAGAAGTAAAGTGCGAATGCGTCCCGGCGACTTCCCCGATCCGAGCTTCGGCGCTGGTCCCTCACGCCGCCTGGATCGCTCGGCCTCAGAAGGCCGCGCCATCCCGACCGCGCAGGGCGGCCTTCCGGGGAGGCGGCGATGCCCCGAGGGCTCGAGGAGAGGCCTTCCATAGAGTGGCAGGCCGCGCCCTCCCGACCGCGCAGGGCGGCCCTCCGAGGAGGTGGGGATGCCCCGAGGGCTCGCGGGGAGGCCCTCGACGGAGGCTTCGCGCACGTCGAAGGGACCCCGAGAGGACCCCATGGCCCACACCTTCCCGCGAACGCGTGCCCCTCGCCGCACACCCGGGGCTCGCGCCGCCAGACCCCGAGGGTGGGCGCTGCGTGCGGCAGCCCGACGGTGGGCGACACGCACGGAGCGGTGCTCCTCGGAACGTGTGCTGGGGCGCGACGGGTGCTTGTCCCTCGAGGCCCTGCGATACGACGCAGGCGATGTGATGATCTGCCGGTTGGGCTGCAGGGGGCAAACACCCACACACACACACACACACACACACACACACTCACACACCCGCCAGCGCCAGAAGGATGCTGTGGCGACGTGGGAGTGGGAGGTCAAACTTTCGGACGGTCAGCATCGAAGAGGAGAATCGGATCAAATCGGAATGCTCGTCGGATCGATCAGGGGGTGGGAGGGTAACTGCGGACGCAGACGGGCCCAGGACAGTCAGCATCGAATCGGAAGATCGGGTCGAATCGGAATGTGCGTCGGATGGGTCAGGGGGTGGGGAGGGTATACTTCGGACGCTGACGGGCCCAGGAGAAATCAGCATCGAAGCGGAAGATCGGATCGAATCGGAGCGTGCGTCGGATCGGTCGGCATCGGCAAGGAGCCAGAATCGAAGCGGATCAACTGCGCCAGGATGCGCAGTAGCGCCATGCAGGCATCGAGCCGCATCGCTCGCCGGTCTGTTAGAATCAAACTGGATCGGGCCGGTAAAGAATGCATACCGAATCGGATCCGGCGCATCAAAATTGACCCTGGAACCTGGCTTACGTACTGGGGCACGATCCACTCCAGCTGCGACTCCGGCGGCATGACCCACTTCATGCCAGACGCCTCCTGCGGGACGACGCCCTGCATGGCATGGGTGCCGAACTCCTGCGGCGCCTCCTGCGGCCTGAATCCCCGCGTGGACCGCGTGGAATTCGAGTCCTGGGGCAGGATGCGAAATAACGGGAGGTATGGCGACCCCAATCCCAGACTCAAGTGGGAAATCCCAGCTGGTCAATTAGTGTGGAGCACAACTAGGGGATACGCGGTGGGGGGCGCCCATCCTCGAGAAGGGTGCGCCGAACAGCCCTCTGGGTGTATCCACCAATTCCCCTGCTATTCCAGACAGCCAATTTGGTGGGAGGGGGGGGTCTCGGGGATCGGAGAACTCGACTGCGACATGACACTATCCCTTCTCTCACCACCAATCACCATTTCGCATCGGCTTCGACGCGTGAATGACGTTTGGCGCGTGGCGCCAGTACTCACACCACGGCAAGTAAGGAACTGGTTCAGGCGATGTGCCATCTTGACTCCGGGGGGAACCTGGTAATCTTGTGCAGCCTGCCCTGGCGTACGCCGCGCGGGATGTCGAAGTGTCGATTTGAATGAAAGCGCAGGACAGTTTCAAACGCGTTTCGTTGCCCGCCAAAACGTTCACGCCTTCGGCCTGCGCACATCACGATTATCATCCAGTCCGTGTGCCAAGCGTTCCCTACACAGAGGTGTGAAACATCACTGATGGCGGACCGCACAAACTCTGATTCTAAATCCACCGACCCTGTCGGCGTGCCTGAGGGGCTTGTCCGTTCGAGCCGCCGTCTCCGTCCTTCGTTAGTCGTCGTCTCTGTCGTCCCCTTTCCCTGCGCCCCCCCCCTTCCCTGGGCCTGTCGCCGCTCCCACCCCTTTTCCTGGACCGTCCTCCTCAAGCGCTGGGCCGTCCTCCTCAAGCGCTGGGCTGTCCCAGTGGGAGCTCCACCGACAGTCCGAAAGCCAACGTGCGTATGCTGCCCTCCCGCCCATGGTGGTACACCCCTGACCTCGACCATGAATTCGGGGTGTTTTGATTACTTCCCGGCGCGCAGCATGTTCCTGTGGAGCCTCGGGAAGCCCTGAAATAGATCTTGCAGGACGTAAACACGAGACCTCCCATATACGCTCATGGTGGCCTACTGGAGCGCGGCCCGGGAGCCTTTTGGAAGCATTGTGGGGGTCTCCGGGGCCTCTCCAGGCCTTCCGTTGGAGTCGTTTGGGGCCTTTTCTGGCCTGTCTGGGGGCCCATTTTGGCCGTCCCGGGTCCCGCTTGGCCCGGCATGGGGTGCTGAGCCCGTCTTGGGGCCCTCTTGGGGCCCTCTCCGACCATGTAGGGATCCTCCGGTGGCCCCCTCGGGCCCCCTGGGGACTCTCTTGGGCCGGTTTGGAGCTCTCTTGTGCTGCTCGAAGCTCTCGTCAGACGTTCTTAGGGCCCTCTTGGGACCTCTTGGGCCGTCTGGGGCTGATTTTGGGAGCCTTTGGGGCCGTCGCGGCCGCTGTCAGGACAGAAAAAGCGAATAGCCCGGTAATTTACGCTTTTCCATCGGACTTGCTTGATGTTTGCCCTTGGCGGGCCTTCTCGGCGGCCTCTTGAACCGTCTTGAGCGAATCCTGTTGGGTCTAATTCGGCCCGTCTGGGGGCCCATTTCGGCCGTCCCAAGACCCTCTTGGCTCGCCATGGGGAGCTGAGCCCGTCTTGGGGCCCTCTTGGTGCCCTCTCCGACCAAATTGGGATCCTGCACACTCTCCTGGGCTGTCTTGGAGCTCTCTCGTGCTGCTCGAAGCTCTCTTCAGGCCGTCTTGAGGGGCCCTCTTGGAGTCCTGGAGGCATCTTGGTTGGGGCCGTCGTGGCCGGTGTCAAGACTGAAAAAACTAATGTCCCGGAAATATATGCTTTTCCACAAGGGTATAATTGATTTTGCGATTAGGGCGCCTTCTCGGCGGCCTTCAGGACCGTCTTGGGGGGGTCCTTTATGACGTTCTTTAGCCCGTCTGGGGGCCCATTTCTGCCGTTATGGGTCCCTCTTGGCCGGGCATAGTGGCTGCGTTGAGGAGGACATGCGCCTCGTCCAACAGGCTTGAAATGGCAGACATGTCGTGCCACGCAGTGGATTTCCTGGACGTCACCATCATCCAGAAATCGAACGGCGTATTGGCATGGAGACCTTACAAAAAAGAAGGTGAGATCAAAGTACCGCTTTATTACCGAAGTTATCACGTGAAGTCGGTGCACGCAGCTTGGCCGAGAGCGGAGGTGGAACGGTTAAAGCGCCGCTCATCAGCCGCGAGCATTTTCCAGCATGCCATTTTGGACATGAAAAAGCGTTTCAGAGATCATGGCCTCAGCTGCAGTTTCCCTGTTCCTCCATTCTCTGCTCTCCACCCCGTGAGGCATGCAGAGCCCAGGGAACGTGATGATGTTTGGCTAGTGCTACCGCACCACCCCCTTCACGAGAAAGCCAATGCAGGCTAGCTTCTCAACGAGCTCTGGACGAGGTGGGGGGCTGATAGGTTTTTTTCTGTGCCCGCTCAAGTTCAGGCTCACTTGGACGGTAGATCGGCCGAATCATTTTGCCCTGCTCCGAAAATGGCAGCAGCGTTTCTAGGTAGGTGAATGGGGTAGGAAGGAGGGAATAACAATAATAACCGACCCTTGTTCTAGAGAATTGTCACGATAATCTTATGTCTTGGACCCGTTGTGTGTGTGTGTGTGATACGAATTTGCCGAATGTTGTATCATCGGTTCCGCTACCATTTCAGGCTCCGCCGTGACAAGCACGGCTGCAGGGCGCTCACAGGCCCCCAGGCCCACTTCACCACAAGAAGGCGCACGATTTGTTAACACCATTTCTGTTCATCAGGTGGCAGAGCATATCAATTTGTGGTGAGGTGCGCCAAGTAGTTCTTGGCGCTGCAATTTCAGTGTTTGTGGCCGCACACGCCTGCCAGGAAAAGGATACCAGGAAGCATAGGGGCCAATTTCGGCCGTCCCAAGTCCCTCTTGGCTCGTCATGGGGAGCTGAGCCAGTCTTGGGGCCCTCCTGGTGCCCTCTCCGACCAAGTTGGGATCCTCCAGACTCTCCTGGGCCGTCTTGGAGCTCTCTCGTGCTGCTCGAAGCTCTCTTCAGACCGTCTTGAGGGGCCCTCTTGGAGTCCTGGAGGCATCTTGGGACGTCGGGGGCTGATTTGGGGAACCTTTGGGGTCGTCGTGGCCGCTGTCAAGACTGGAAAACGAATGTCCTGGAAATATATGCTTTCCACAAGGGAATAATTGATTTTGGCCATTTGGGCGCCTTCTCGGCGGCCTTCAGGACCGTCTTGGGGGGGTCCTTTATGACGTTCTTTGGCCCGTCTGGGGGCCCATTTCTGCCGTCATGGGTCCCTCTTGGCCCGGCATGGGGAGCTGAGCCTGTTTTGGGGCCCCCTTGGGGTCCTCTCCGACCATGTAGGGGTCCTCCGGTGGGCTCCCCGGGCCGCCCCCTGGGGGCTCTCTTGAGCCGTCTTGGAGCTCTCTCGTGCTGCTCGAAGCTCTCTTCAGGCCGTCTTGAGGGGCCCTCTTGGAGGCATCTTGGGAGGTTTGGGCCGATGTTTGAGAGCCTTTGGGGCCGACGTGGCCGCTGTAAAGACTGAAAAAACGAAAACCCCCAGAAATAAACGCTTTTCCATAGAAAATGCTTGATTCTTGCCCTTCGGGGACCTTCTCGGCGGCCTCTTGGACCGTCTTGAGAGCTTTGAGGCCGTCTAAGGAGCAGTCTTGGGCTGTCTTCGAGCGCTTGCGGGCCGTCCCGAGGCCATCTCAGTGCGCTCTGGGAGCGTCTGGCCAGCTTAGGGACCTCTTGGGCCAGCTTGGGGGTCTCTAGGGGATCCAGGGCCCCTTCTGGGCCCTCCTGGAGCCCTCAAGGCCCACCGGACCCCTGTGGTCGCGGTTCCGGGCCCTTTCCCGGCCTACTCCGATATATGCATACATGTTATATAACTTTATATATATATATATATGGATACATATATATATATGTATACATACATACATACATACATACATGCATACATACATGCATACATACATGCATACATGCATGCATGCATGCATACATACATACATACATACATGCATGCATGCATGCATGTATGTATGTATGCATGCATGCATACATGCACACATACATACATACGAACAGACAGACAGACAGACAGAGAGACTGACAGACAGACAGACAGACAGACAGACAGACAGACAGACAGACAGGCAGACAGACAGACAGAAATGCGTACATGCATGCATGCATACATGCATACATACATGAACACACATATATATATATATGTATACATAAACATATACATATACATATACATAAACATGTCCATGTACATATACATATACATATACATATACAAATAAATATACATATACATATACATATACATATACATATACATATACATATACATATACATATACACATACATATACATATACATACAGTCATGCATACATGAATACATGAATACATACAGACAGACAGACAAACAGACAGACAGACAGCAGACAGACGTACATCGGAGGTTGGGGGGTGAGATCGCAGTGGAACGGAGACCCTGACAGGGAAATCGTGTCGTTTCGTTCGTGTCGTGCGTGCGGGCGAGGCGAAGCTGCGTGGGCGCGCGAGAGGGATGAACCCGCCGTTGCTAGGGCGAAGCCAAGACAAATGATTCTCCCCCGCCCGCCCGTCCGGCGGTGGCCACCGGTGTCCCGCGGTGTCCCGTGTGTCCCGTAGTGTCCCGCGGCTGCTAGGGCGAAATCAAGACAAAAAATTCTCCCCCTCCCGCCCGTCCGGCGAGGGCTCGCGGTGTCCCGCGGTGTTCCGTGGTGTCCCGTGGCCGTGGTGCCCCGCCGTTGCTAGGGCGAAGTCAAGACAAATGATTCTCCCCCGCCCGCCCGTCCGTCCGTCCGTCCAGCGGTGGCTCGCGGTGTCCCGCGGTTCCGTGGTGTCCCGTTGAGATAGATAGTGAGATCGACAACTGTCCCGTGGTGTCCCGTGGTGTCCCGTGGTGTCTCGTTGGGTGAGATCGATAGTGAGATCGACAGGTGTCCCGTGGTGTCCCGTGGTGTCCCGTGGTGTCCTGTG